CTGCCCCGGGGATTATGATAGGCTACAGCCCCCCTGCCCATCTAACTGTACCCCGGGGGCCGGGCTTCTGACCCCTCCTCACTCCCAGCCGAGACCCCCGACCGCAGTTGCAGCCACTGACCATCTCTCCCTCCCGCCCCCAGAGCCTGGACATCACCAAGAAGAAGTTAGTCCATGAGGGCCCCCTGACGTGGCGGGTGACAAAGGACAAGGCTGTGGGTGAGCAGCAGGCCGGCAGGGTGGGACCGTGAGCTGGGCTGCAGCGGGGGCGCTGAGCACCGACGGCGCCCCTCCGGCCCGCAGAGGTCCACGTGCTGCTGCTGGACGACCTGCTGCTGCTGCTCCAGCGCCAGGACGAGCGGCTGGTCCTCAAGGCCCACAGCCGCACGCTGATGCCCACGCCCGACGGCAAGACCATGCTGCGGCCCATCCTGCGGCTCACCTCCGCCATGACCCGCGAGGTGGCCACTGGTGAGCACAGCGCACTCATGGCCCGGGCAGGCGGGTGGCTGCTTTGAGCAGAACTGCCCGTGGAGTGGGGAGTGGAACCCTCTAACCAGCTGGGATAACAGAGGCAGTGGAAGCAGAGGGGGCAGGGCCGGGACCAGGCCCCCAGTGGGTTCTGTAAGGCGAGGTGGGAAACTGCCCAGGGGCTGTGTGGCCGACTCTGCTGGGCGTCTTGGAAAGGCACCCTGGCGGCCCTTGGGAACTGTAAGGAGCAGGGCTGGAAGCTAGAGCCAGAGGCCCAGTGAGGGGTTTGCAAACACTGCCAGGAAGTGGCACCAGGGCCAGCAGCTGGGGCAGCGCCAGGGGCTGACAGGAGGCAGCAGGAGGGCATGCGGGGCCCTGGCAAGGAGCCGGAGTGTAAGGGGTGACGAGTCGTGAGAGTCTGAGAGCACTGCCGTCACAGGGGGCCTTCCCCAGCCTCCAGCCTGTGCTCAGGGAGGGGTGCACCCTGGGCTGTCCTCTTCCCCTTGCAGATCACAAAGCCTTCTACGTCATTTTCACCTGGGACCAGGAGGCCCAGATATATGAGCTGGTGGCGCAGACTGTGTCAGAGCGGAAGAGGTGAAGGGGTTGGGTTCCGAGCCTGGGTGGAAGAGGCCCGGGCCCTGGGTCCCCAGGACGGTGGGGGACAGAAGGCCTCAGCACAGGGTCTGGACTCTGACTTCAGGGAGCTTGGCCTGTCTCCCCAGCTGGTGCACGCTCATCACTGAGACCGCTGGATCCCTGAAGGTGCCGGCCCCTGCCTCCCGCCCCAAGCCCCGGCCCAGCCCAAGCAGGTGAGGGGCCGGGGAGCTGGCGTGATGGGGCTGACTTCCCTGCACATCCTCAGAAATCAACCCCAGCCCTGCCTGCGTGTGTGTGTGGGCACATGTGTGGTGTCTGTGCTGACCCCACCACGGCCCTATCTGTCTCCTGTCTCCAGGCCTCTCTGTTTTTCACTGTCCGGGCCTCTCTTTCTCCCTCCTAGTCTCAACCTCTGTCTATGTCTCCGGACCTCTCTGCCTCCCCAGCTCTCAGTCCTCTTGCCCCTCCAGCCCCACGGGGCCAGGGGGGTGGGGTCAGCCAATACTTTCCCCCCAGCACCCGCGAACCCCTGCTCAGCAGCTCTGAGAATGGCAGCGGAAGCCGAGAGATGCCTCCGACTGACGGTGAGTCCGAGGGGCACTAGGTAAGGAGACATGGGTGATGGGAGGTGCCCGCAGGAAGCCCAGAGGAATCTGAGCACCACCCACTCTGTTCCTCCATCTAGCCCGGAATGAAAGAATCCTCAGCGACCTCCTGCCCTTCTGCAGACCAGGCCCCGAGGGCCAGCTCGCTGCCACGGCCCTTCAGAAAGGTAGCGGGGCAGGGCCTCTGGCCAAACAGTGCCTCTGTCTGAACTAGAAAGAGGCTCCGCCCTTTCAAATTCCTGACACCCCCCCACCAGGACGCAAATGGCAGAGCTTCTGAGCCACATCACACTCCTGGTAGCCCCATGTCCCTCCTGCAGCCTCTCCCTGGACCTCTCTCCATCCCCAGTGCCCTCTTGCCCTGTCCCAGCCTGAGCGCAGCCTCATCTCTGCAGCCCGCTCTGCTCAGTCTTGCCAGGCACTGGCCCTCCCCTCCTGCCCGGCCCAGCCCTGCTTTGCTTCTCCTCACTCATCTCCTTTGCCCCTGCCAGTACTTTCCCTAAAGCAGCTCCTGTTTCCTGCGGAGGAGGACAGTGGGGCAGGGCCTCCCCGCGACGGGGACGGGGTCCCAGGGGAAGGCCCCGTGAGCCCGGCACAGACCCAGGAGATTCAGGAGCACCTGCACAGCCTGGAGGGGATCATGAAGCAGCTAGAGGTGGTGGCCAGGGCTGGGGGAGGACCTGAGCGGGCTGGGGAGGAAGGGAACCCCCCTTAAGAATGAACCCCCACCCCTCCAGGAGCTGGAGGATGAATTTTGCCGCCTGCGAACCCTCCTGTCTCAGCTGGGGGGGAACCCTGTCCCACAGCCCGGCTGCACCTGAGGTTCTTGCCCAAGCAGGTAAGTGGGAGAGTCTGGGGGCCGCGATGCTAAGCCGAGGAGGGCAGAGTGGGTGCCCACCTGTGCTGGCTATTCTCTCTGCAGTCTGTCCTCCCCTGGCACCCCCTCCTGCCCATGCTCTGCCCTCCGGTGCTTTCTCCACCCTCCCCCCCCCACTCTCCTGCTTTCTGTCTCTGACTGTCCCTCCATCTCTCTCCCCTTGTTCTCCCACATTCCCAGGGCTTTTGCAAGAAGGAGAGGAACAGGGGAGAGAACGTGAGAGGCCAGCTCTCACCCACCCAGTGGTTGCAGCATGTCACCTCCCAGGGCCGAGGACAGGGAGCCGTGCTGTGCGGGCCATGCCTGGGAGGGACCCAGCCAAGGTCACTGCCTCCCCCATTAGCCTCGGCCTTCTCTCTGTCCCACCTTCTGCTTGGGGGACTCAGGGCTTTATTCCAGGGACACCACAGAGACCCCATATCTCGGGCCTTCTCAGTATTGCCTGTGGGGGTTGCCCCTCCACCCCCACCCCCAAGTGCCTTTGCTGTTTTTATACCCTGAATTGGAGGTTTATTTTTTAATATATATTATCTAAGGAGAGGTCTGCGTTTGTGAGGGTGGGTGGGTCCTGGCGTGGCGGTGGAGTCTGGAACCGTTGGCGGCTGGCTGGCTGGCAGGCGTCGCCTTCCCGGGCCTGGCCCTGC